AGCACTTTTGGCAGAACACTTGTCGGCCATGTTTATGTCCACGGCGGCCAAGCTGATAATCAGCACTTCTGGCCAAACACTCGCCGGCCGTGTTTATGTTTCCGGCGGCCAAGGTGGAAATCAGCACAGGTGGCCAAACACTTGCCGGCCGTGTTTATGTCTCCGGCGGCCAAGCTGAAAACCAGCACTACTGGCCAAACACTTGCCGGCCGTGTTTATGTCTCCGGCGGCCAAGCTGAAAATCAGCACTTGTGGCCAAACACTTGCCGGGCGTGTCTATGTCCCCGGCGGCCAAGCTGAAAATCACCACTGCTGGCCGAACACTTGCCGGCCGTGTTTATGTCTCCGGCCTCCAAGCTGAAAATGAGCACTTCTGGCCAGGCGCTTGCCGGCAGTGTTTATGTCTCCGGCGGACAAGCTAAAAACAGCTAGTTTGTGGCCGGACCCTTGCCGGCCTTGTTTATGTCTCCGGTGGCCAAGCACTTAAAGTGGCCAAGCTGTCCAGACACTGGCCAACCGTCGGCCGATCGAAATTCACTTTCTGGTGCTGCTTGGGATGTGGTTAAAAGCCATGAGTTTGTTTTCCCGCACGGCCCTTCGTAGCCAGTATTTATATTGTAGTGTTTGTTTTTCTATTTCTGCTGTTCGCGCACGGCTGCAATTGCCGTCTTGGATTAATCTTTGTAGAGCGGATATTCACTCAGCTGGAAGTGATGCTTCACAAGCAGAGAAATCGCTTTTCGATCAACTTGAATGCGGTCAAAGCCGCGACTTGCGGCAACTGTTAAGTGTACGGAGCTACGCCGTTGCGAGCTCGAAAACTTCTAGCGCTCATCGCAGCGCGCCACTTGGAGGGCAGTTTCTACAGGAACCGTAATATATTTAAACAGTAAAATAAAGGATAGCGTTTTTTTTTTCGATTTTACCTGTTTTTTTTTTTCATGCTAAACTTCCATTGTAAATATACGTACTTTCCGTCATACTTTCGTATTGTTAAGTCTTTTCTCCAGAGCGCAATCGCTCTCGGGGACCGACAGTCACATTGGTCACTGTACGATAGGAGCTTACCGTTCAGACCAGAGTTCCAACATGACTATCCACACGTTGATCGACTGCACGTAATCCCTGAAGTCGTCTTAAACTCTTTAATGTAAAGCGGAATGTCATCCTGCGACACCCCGCCCCCTCCGATCACGGCCCGACCAGCGGCATCAATGCCCGACAGTTTACGTCATCTCATCTTGTTGTTACACCACTGATACGCGAACACACGGTCACATCGGCGATAATTCCAGTCTTCTGTTCACAACCCACAACACTGCCAACACTGCCATCACGATGTCGCTGACACGCAGAAATACAGAACCACGTTGACGATGTTGCTGAGACGCAGAAATACAGAATCACGTTGAACGCCGGTTGGCACTCGGCACGAAACAACAGAACCGAAATCAGCACGAAAGGCACCAGGCAGCCGGCAGGAAAACCTGCCTGCCTTGGACGCAGTTCCCGCGATTTCCATAACGTCGAAAACGTCGACACAGTTCCTCGTGGTTTCGCTGCTGTAGTTCCGCGTGTGTCCCGCAAATCGGAGACGACCGTCTTACCCAGTGTATGTAGCGCTGCTGGCACTGCTCCAGAACTTCGCTGTTTCTAGCGGCTTCGTTAGCTCGTTTGATGAAATTAGTGGTAAAAACGTCAATGCAACCGAAATGTTCTGCAGGTTTGGACTAGAAGACGGAATTACTAGCGGCCTTCGCTTCCGCTGAAGATCAATCAACTCAACATTAATTTATTAAACAACGTGCGCGACGTGGTCGAAAAACGAAACCGAAAGAAGATGAGTCGGGAGGGCGAAAGCTTTCACCGGCCTGCCTGGAGAAGGAGGAAAACGTCTCGGTGAATAATAAGGACTTCAATTTTCCTTTCATTGGTCTGGGTTTGTTTATGTGTGTTTTGGTAAATAAAAATTAAAACAAAAACTTTACGAAAAAAAAAAAAGAAACCGCTCCTCTGGGGTTTGAACCTTTCACCACTTGGTCAGTAGCGCGATGTTTTACCCCTGCGCCAACTGAACAGAAGGGACGCGCCCTCCTTTCTTCATCTGAACTGCCGTTCATCCCTTCTCTGGGCAACTTGTCCGCAACAAGGAGGAACAGTCTGTGGTGTGTGTCTCCCCTACTCGTCCGTCGTTTTTAGCGCTTTTAACCCCTAAACATGTTCAACCAACTAGCCCAAATCCAAACCCTTCTGAGGAACAGTCGCTGTTGCTACCTTTCTCCTCCTTTTTTTCTTAGAGTGTAAATCTGCCTTTTTTATGCTTCGTGTTGGAGTGCGTTTGCAAAGCGACGTGTTGTGCTCATCGTGCGGTGTGAATAAATTTGGGCAAGATTTCCTACCTGCCCACAGATGCATGAACTGAGTCCATTTTTTACATAGTGAACATAGCGCTTTTTTTGGGAAGGGGGGAAGAGGCGTTGTGCATTTATTACGGTATAATCACTTGAAAGTTCAGAAATTGGGGAGGGCGAGCAAGCTTTCCGAACTTTGTCTCTTTGCTCTCTGGCACTGCCCCTAGTTTCAAGTTTCAGTAGACATACCTAGTAGCAGGTACAAATTCCTCTAAAGCAGGTAAACGACCGGGAAGTCGGGATTGTGCGGACTCCCTATTTTGTGCTTTTCGCAAGGTGACTGGGGAAGTGCTTTTGCAAAGTATGCGAAATATGCAACCGATTTTGTTATGCCCGTCGTTTGCGTCACTCCAGCAAAATGAATAAGATAATCTACAAAGCCGCGATCACAAGCCAAGATTTACGATAACAGTACGCATTCATTCAAACAACTTTACGTAAGATGGTTCGAAAGCCGAGAAAAAAAATCTGTCGGCTAACGCAGAAATCGGACGTCCGACGGCTTCTCTGGGCAGCTATTACGTAATCACCTGGCTGTGCCAGGTTTTTTACGTAACAGCTGTGTCTGGTCGCGGACATTCGATGCACCCGGGGCACCCGGTGCGAATCTCGACGGCCTCCATAGCGATATGACAAGAACATAACTGGACACGTTTGTCGCACGCGAACGCCCCATTGCCTCCAGCCAAATAGCATTCCTTTCAGGGCGGCATGGCTGCTAGAAAGCTCACTGTCCGGATCAGGCATCTGACATCTCTGAAAGTCAGCATTCGCACGCGCAAACAAACAAACAAACAAAAATAAAAGCACGCTAAGCAAACCAAGAGGAAAACGAAAGAACCGCGCTATGAAAGCCAAAACCCCGCGTCGCTTGCTATCACTAGCACCCGCGACAGCTGCTAAACACACACTACTTCACTTCAAGAAGTATCACTCAAGCACCTGGGTCAGCACGAAACACTGATCACTCAGGCGAAACGATTAGTCGAGGTAGGCGAGACAGGCGTACAGGTCGGGAGCAGAGACTTCGGCGGCCATGAAAGAATGGCGAAGCTTTTGTTTGTTATGGTATCAATCCAAACGGAAGTGCCCGTCTTGTAAACCTTTTGTAAAGAATAATAACTCTCATCGCATGGGTTATTACTTTAACGTAAAAATATGTCGCTCAAAAGGAAATTGCAACATATAACAAAGGTTTAACAACCAAGATCTAAGCTGTCAATAAAACTCTTAGCCAATGAGAAGTATAGCAGCCGATTGGGATTCAACGTCACGGAATCCCAACTTCGTGGCGCGAGATTTAAAACGAGTGAAATAGCCGCAAACTAAAATCAGTCTCACGCAATACATATTGCTGTAAAAAAAAATGTTTTTTCTCGCGGGAAAATTGTTTTTTGACATGCTTGTTCCAATTAGGTTGTTTAAAAAAAACTTTTTTTCTTTGCAGTTACCCTTTAAGCTTCTTTCGAAGCTAAGGCATTCCAGACTGCCTTGCCGACATTTCGTGCGCCCCCAGTCACAACGGTCGAGTGTGCGTGGAACGAAAATATCTGGAACCTCGTCGTCATTTTTTAGGGGCTAGTATTTTTAATCTATGTCGGGATATCTCCGCTGGGAACCACTGGGAGCGCCTTCCACACGGTTGCACGTGTATCGCAAGCAACTCTAGCGTTAATCGGCAAACACAAACACGATTAAAACTGGCACGGCGTGATGGTTACCTTAGTAGCGGTAGCTGCCAATTTTCACAAGTTTGATACCCCTACACCGCAAGCACAAGTCTGTACTCCAGTATACCGCTTCACTCGAGCAACGAGCGAATCCTATCAGAAAGTAAACGCGGAGGCTGCAACGCCCTACGTTATTGCTGCATCGTAAAACGCATTTTGCACAGGTGTACACGGGCTCGCTCTATTTTCACGCCTTCCACGCGTGAAAATAGAACGAGCCCAATATTAGGAAACACCGTCCTTGTCGCTTGTTATGGCCGTTATTCTAAACTAGTCAATTTCATTACACGTGGCGCTGTAGTTATGCTCATGAAATATACAATATCACTGAATTCCATCAAGTGTTTGCATGCCAGTGCTCAGTGTTCCACAAGTATGCTCGAGTAACTATATAAAAAAAAAAGATCATTCACGGTATCCACCTGCCCATTTAGTTTACACAAAACGTTAGGCGAAGGCACCCGACAATATGTTCCAAGTATTGTCGAAGAATAACAACTCGAAAGCATATTCAATTGTGTCTCTTCAGTGCAAGATATCAGTTGATTGATACCACGTAAGATAGTGCTCATATATCGCACCAAGGAAGTGAAGCTGATAATCAGAATTTAAAATGAATCTCTTAGAAGTCTCAGCTCAGCAGCCAACAATATTTTAAACCTTTCTCAGGAAAGTTTTTAAGCGCAACGTCCGTCGCCATTTTGATGCGCACAGGACATTCTTTTCACGATATTACTAAATAATTCTGAGCGATAAGAAAAGTATTTAAAGTAGTAGAACGTCTCTAAAGGACAATAAATTTAGTTATTTCTTCGTAACATTTTTATTCAATCAAAAGGTGCAGCTTCCGCAGCTTCAATCACGAGCTGGATCCACCAGCCACTTCAATTGCGGCTCCTGTCATATACGAGCTCTCTGGCGAGCAGAGAAAAGCAACCACGTCAGCGACCTCACGAGGCTGAGCGAAGCGACCAAGTGGAAGCCAGAACAACATTTTCTGTCGCCGCTCTTTTGTAAAGAATTCTGAAACCCTCGGAACGGGACTGTGGATCATTCCAGGAAGCACTGCATTGCACCGAATTCCTTTGTCGGCGAGATCCAAGGCCACCGTTTTGGTAAGACCAACAATACCGGCCTTGGAGGCGACGTAACCGTAGCGTCCTTTGAAGCCCGTCTTGGCGACCAGGCTGGAAATGTTGACCACTACCCCTTGAGTAACCTCTCCGGCCAGCATGTCTCGGGCAGCAGCTTGGGTCATCAGGAAGGTACCCTGGTTTATACGCAAATCATTTAAAAAACTATAGATTTGATTCCACTTCATAATGCTTATCATTAGTAATAAAGAGATGAAAAAGAAACAAAAGGATACAAAATCTCCATCGACTTTTGCATCATGATCCCATAGGGTATGGAAACTAACCAGTGTAAAATAAGCGTTCGCCCAAAGTTTGTCTAGACGAAATTACGCTGTTGCTTCGGCAGTTAAAAGCGTGTTGCTGAAGATGTCCCCATTGAATCGAGTGGGGAAAATCGGGGTCACGGGAGGCCATGGTAGAACGTGACAGAACAACTTGAGACTAGGGCGACCAACCGTCCCGCGACTCGCAAGACTGTCCCGCATTGAGGGCTCGTGTCCCGGGTCCCGCAAGAAATAACCAAATCTTCAAAATGTCCCTCATTTCACACGGTCCTAAGATTCACTCCGCAAATCATGGTGCTGCCGAACAACGGGGCACGGAGAAGCGCGGAGGTCGCTGGTAATCGTGTGATTCAAAATGATACGCCATTTTCTATCCGAGCATTGCGGGAAGTGACTGTCGTTCTTGCAGGAAAACCGTCGCGCAGGCGCCGCTGTACCTCTGCTCTTGGTAGCAAAATACTTTAAGAAAAATTTCTCGCCAAAGCTTTGACGATAAAATATTGTAATTATCTGCAAATCACTGTGTCCTTGCAAAAACAAAATTGCTGTATATTTCTTTTTTCTTAGTGAAGACATTCACAACGGTCAAAAAAGAACATGATGTTAAAACTTTGTGTAGGACCATGTTGATAAAAGTGAGCGTTGACGGGAAAAAATAACCCGAAAAAAGATTTACTATTTCTTATTTCCATTTGATGCATTGAGTTCTGATACTATTGATTTTTTATGTTTTCAACCCCGACGTATTTAATAGGATATTTGACACAAAAAATATACCACGGGGAGTGAAAATTGTTTGAGCTTAATTGCTGGAATAGAACTTGCAGGTACATAGACAGCACAGGATAATAAATGTATTAACAGAGCGACGGTTCGTTGTGTGTGTGTAAATTTCCTCTACCGCCATCCCCCCCTCCCCCTGCCTTGTGTGTCCCGTATTTCGCTGGCAGAAAGCTGGTCAGCGTACTTGAGTCTCTGATGTCACGTGACGTCACGTTTGCGGATAAATTTACGTGATGCACAGACTTGACGCCTTGGCGTGGCGATACGGTTTACGGACACGTGATACGATGCCGTAACTTCACGTGCATTGTTACGCTAAATTTAAAGAGTTTTACATAGCAGACACGGCAGACGACACGTGCTGTGTCGTCTGTTTAATCTCCTGTGTCCCTCTTTCGTTTTCGTATATTAGCGACGTAATTGACGTGGCGACATGACCACACGTTACCTGACGTAACGCGGAATGGTCACGTAATGTGACGTCACAATGTAAAGTCGTGCTGGCACGCTACGCCATGATATCACAGGACGTCAATTTCGACGCTAAATTTACCAGGAAACGCACTAACGAACGAACGAACGGACGGATGCACACGTTTTTGGGAATAGGAAAGTCTATTAGAAAGCATTCCATGGTTTCTGATAGCACTATCCTCAGAGGTAATAAAAGAAAATATTCCATGCTTTTTAATAGCACCATCTGCTGCTTAAACCTTTTTTAGTGTTCTCTGAAACCTTTGGTATGATTATATACCACACAGTCAAAAAGCTGAGTTCACGTGCAGATGTTAAGAATCTAGATCCACAACCTCAGATATTTAGCGCATTATTTTACGTTTTTACGTTGTGCCAGCCTAAAATATATTTTTATATACGATACCAAACCTTTGACATGAGTAATTGCACGATGTGCTGAATGGAGGTAATTTTTTTGCAAATAAATATATATTTTTGCTTTCATGGTTGTAACTGCTCGCCAAAACGAGCTTTCAATAAAAGCTTTTAGATTTCAGATTCGAAAATCAACCTTACTGAAAACTTTGCAAACACGTTAGCTTTTAGTTCGGCTCCACCCAAAAGTAGAGAAACTAAAAATCGCGCACTATGTTGCAAAGTATGTTGCACAATGGGTACGCTTGTGTCGCATTTTGGAATTTATTTATGTAGGTAGTCAGGATTAAGCGTACCGAGTGTAATTTCATAACATCAGTGGTTAAAATAATTCGCATCACCTACTGAGGAAAGGACGTGCTTCAAAAGACAGCAATATGTTTCTTCTTTTTTTTTCTCTCTTTCGAAATGATATCTTTTCTAACAAAGTTATTTACCCCAACGCTTTCAAAAGGGCAACGGGCTGTCCTTCAGAAGAAATACTCTCTCAACATACAGATACCAAAGAATTCACAAGTATACATACATAGCGCACTCGATCTCTGAATTCGAGACGTGCAAGAAGTATTCGCGAATGCTATTCCTAAAACAATTAGTCTCTGGGTCGCCAAGAGCGTCGTACGTGAGTAAGCTAACGTAATAAAGTTGGTAACAAACTGTCCTTGCCTTTTTTCGTTAAGGAACTCTTTTTTTTTTTTAATCTTCAGTGCAGTTTTCAGAACAGTCAAGCGTTTTAGCTTACCTTGAGGTTAACATCGACGACTCGATTAAAACTCTCCTCGCTTGTATCAAGAATGGAGGTGCCACTGCCAAAGATGGCGGCGCAGTTCACCAGAACGCTGACGGGGGAACCGTGTAATTGCTTCAGTGACGAAAAGAGGTTTTGCACTGATGTTGAGTCAGCAATATCAACTTGCATTGCAACGTGTCTCTGACCGTCGCGCACAGCTGAAAATACATGGGTAAGTTACGGTATCAAACGAAACATGAAACAAGGAGAAGCTCATAGAGAACAACTACAAACAAAACATTATGTGACTTCACATTCCATCAAATATTTAATTTTCTTATGACATTTCTGAATATAAGCATCCCAGAAAACTACCTGCTGCCACCTGTCTTCGCTCCCCACTACTTTTTTCTATTTTTTTTCAGGTAGCTCGGTGTGTATGCGGAACGCAAGTTTGTCTGCTTCTTTTGCAGGTGTTGGGGTGACATCAGAAAGCAGAACTCTGGTTGGCTCTGATTGAAGGACAGGGGTAGACGTCAAAGCAGGCTGCCTTGAGGCCTACACAATATTTCTATCAGAGCCAATAAAATCTCGGCGTTCTGACATCCGCACAACCCCTGCAAAAGAAGCAGACGAACTGGACTCCGCTTACCATCATTTGTTGCTCTCGACTATTCTACGATATATCGTAAAGAAAAACAAAAAAAACCCCGTTTGTTTGAACTTGGAAGAGCCAATCACTGGAATCTGCAAAAAAAGCTTGATGAATGACGAAGCTGAAAGTATGTTTAGAGCTAGGAAGTAGTCTGCGCTGTTACACCGAGTCACTTCAATCGTCATACACAGCGCCGCATCAGATGCCATCTTTTTTTAGGTCTAAACATATTTTCAGCCTCGTCATTGGCGGACCTTTCTCCGTAAATTTCGTAACGTATAAGTTTACATTTATTCTTCTCCTTCCTTAAGCACGAAGTCTTTAACTTCATTTGGACACTATCCAAGAATCTCCATCTAAACCTACTAAGTGAATTAGAAATACAAACCTGGAAGAGTAGTGAGCACGGCTTCAGCCTTTGCCAAATCGATGTCAGCGACGATCACATGAGCACCTTTCTCTGCTAAGGCGTCGCAGATTGCCTTGCCAAGATTTCCCCCGCCTCCGGTCACCACAGCCAAGCGTTCGCGTAAAGGACATCCCTGTGAGCTCATTTCCATATTTTTTGGGGGTGCTTGAAATTTAATTTTGTGCACTGATATCCTCTGTCGGAACCACTGGAAGCTTGTGACACCCGGTCACAGTTCTAGTTCAAGCAGCTCGAGCGTTAAATGACCGACAAGAGTGTTTGAGGTTGTCGCTAAGGGCGCTGCTGTATCAAAACTACTGCTGCTAATTTCAAAACGAGTCAAGTGAAAACACTGGGCTCGTTCGATTCATATAAAATGCACCTGCATCCTCCTTCACTCGGTGTACATCCCCCGACTCGATTTAGGAGCGCAGTGTTTTTTTAACATTCGTAGAATGCGACATTCTTCGTATTTCTGCACTGCGAAACAGCTTTTGCACAGGTGTAGGCTGGTGCAGATAAATATAGCGACGCGGATACTGGCAAACATAATTCGTCTACCATGTTATGGCTTCCTACACCAGGTTTTGAATGTCGTCGTATGTGAAATATCTTTGCTATCTAAAACACGCAGACAGAAACTGCATTCAGGTATGTGTATCTACCAAAAGCAAAATCTCGTCGGCGTGTCGGTGCATATTTTCAGTCACGCATCCGATGGAAACATGGCCAAACGAGACAAGTAGGTATTGTAAATGTGATATTTCGCTGGACGCCATACTTAAGCCCATAGTTCACCGCGCATGCTCTTATTCATCGGTTAGCATGTAGGACCATTTCAATTGGTATTCGTAGACGCAGGTTAGGGATGCTTGCGGCTTGCAATCCGCAGCGATGTATTTGGCGATGGCGGTCAGGGGAAAGGAACTTCACATGCTCAGTATTCCTCATAAACGTGAACAGGATGTAATACACGAAGAACAAAAAGAAACTAAGTGGCATAAAATAAAACAAGGTCAACGCTGTTAACGCCGCAGCCGGTGTAAAGCAGTGGGACTTGGTGCATTGCATGAAGTGCCAAACGAACGTCGCAAGAGTCAGGATCTCAAGCAAACAAACGTGTAGTATCAGTCGGTGCGTCGCGGTAGGCACGGTGTAGTAGAAATAACTCATACAACAAGGAAGATACAGATTTCATTTTCACTTCTCCGAGAACCCTAGCTACTACCACAAAGACAGGAACATTGGCTTTGCACTCACAGACAGAATAAGGCAACACCCCAAGCAACGGCGCTCCGCAATAATCGTACACACTAAACTTTTCTGTCATATACACCGCTTACATCTCCAAAGACATCACAGCCATCCGACTAACAACATGAACAATTGACTTCTACGTAATCTGGTCAGTCGAGGAGAGAGAGCTGCCCCGTTCCCAGGCGGCTCTCTCGTGATCCTTTCCCCGTTTTTCCCTCCCTCCTCCCTTTCTCCAGTCACGGCGGTGCGCGGTCGCGGGAAAAGGGGGGGACAGAGGACCAATGACGTCATGAAGGAGGTTATTTTTTGCTGGTTTTTGTAATTTTAATGTGCCTATAACTTCTAAAATAAAGAAAATTTTAGGAAAGAAAAAGTTACTAAGTTCCCATATTCAGTGCGCTCAGGTTCGGTGCAAACAAGAAAACAAAAAAAAAAAAAAACTGAAAAAGTTGTTGCAGGGCCCCTTACTGCAGTAGTACAATGATTTCAACATTGAAACAATTTCCAGTTTGTATTTTTTATATCGCTTATCTTTGCTCACGTGAGGAAAAGCGCGCAACCTTCCCCGAAAAACCATTACCCGTAATGTAATCGAAAAGAAAAAAAGAAAACAACAACATTTATTCGCCGATTTAGAGCCGCCTGTGGCTGTCGCGGGAACTACGGTGGCACTTCCCTGGGGTACTGCAGGCCATCCTGGGTTTGATCCCCACACCCTTCTATCTTTCGGACTGGATGAGCTTCATATTAAAACGCGTTTGTGCAATTAGTACTTACATGCGGGAGTCAACAAAACCTGTGTTCCTCCGCTGTCTCACTCGCCGGGAGCCCCGTGCCGGACCGCCTTTTGAGTTGATCGCTCGTCGCGACTTTCCGCGATGCTAAGGGTCTGCTTATACTCCGTCGTAACGTCGACGAGCACACGCGCCCGATCGCGTTGGCCGTCGCTGGCTGCGAACAGGGGTCTATGCTCCGTCGTCATGCGCATTGTGAAGTAGCGCAGCGTAGCCCAGCGCACCTCAGCGTAGCTCACGACGGACGAAAGCAGGCAGACGACGGTGGCTATCCCAAAAGCACTCGTGCGAGCGCCCCATTCGAGAATCCGGTTGTCGGGATCGTCAGGGCTAGTCGGGGTGTGCGAGATGCTAATTTCTGGGATGTGGGCCTGCCGCTGTTGCCGTGTGTCGTGTGCTGTTATCGTGTCCCTGCTTTGGTGAGCGTATTTAACGTTCGCGAGCTCGACCGGGCGAGTGTGTCCATGGACATGGACTGCTCCGAGGATGCGCTACCCCCGAGTCTCGTTAGGAAAGAACAACGTTACGAAAACACTCAGTTGGGAAACTCGCAAACTGGAGTCCACTGAGACCGAGCTAAATACGACAACTGCGCCACCCTTTAGCTACAAGTTGAAACTTGAAAGTTGCGTTATATGGCTACTGTAAGATGGCCCTGCAAAATGGCGCCACCGGCTCTTCCGTGACTCGACGGAACCAGTAAGTATTGCCGTGCAGTACACGGAGTGGCCGCTGCGGGAGAAGTGGCAGCGTTGCGATCGCCATTAGCTCGGTACTGAAATAAGGATCGGCGCCACTTTTTCAGAGAAACTATGGCATTTTCCCAACTGAGCGGTTCTAGTAACGTTTGACAAGACCTAACGAGCTGGTGGTGATAAAGTGCCTGAAAAAGCTGGAAGTTCGATGAAGCGCCAAAAGGTAGAGGTAATTAGAATTAATGATGAACTAATCTGTGTGATATATAGGATCATGTGCTAGTCGTATACGGACCGGCAGCCGTTCCCGATAGTAACAGAGCCGTGAATGAACGGGAACGGCGTACCCAGTGAAACCTACTATTTATTTAGCTGACCATGAATTTTCAACACGGGTGTTTCAGTTTGTAAACGATAGTAGCGTTTGTCGATGAAAAGGAGAGTCAATCCTCTATGGTTTGTATGTTTTCTGCAAAGTGCGCTAAAGTTTTGAACGCGTACGCTGCGCAATTTATTCATCGTCCGCTCTCTTCGGTGCCAGTTTATTGAGTCAACGTGAAAGTCTACTATGATAACACACTGAAAATCGGTTAGAATAAAGCCGTTGCGGAATATCGAGCGAATATTTCAACGAAGCATCCTGCGGAATCACCGGAATCTTCGAGTCACTTGGAACGACCCCGGCGAACCTGCCAAGAGACTGTGCGGAGGGCAAGTTCGTCTGCTTCTTGCGCAGGGGGTAGCGGTGACGTCAGAACGCCGAACTCTGACTGGCTCCGATCGGAAGGATAGTGGGTAGACCTGAAGGCAGCAAGCATTGAGGTCTACACACTATCCCTCTATCAGAGCCAATCAGAGCTCGGCGTTATTCTGACGTCAGTGCCACCGCAGCGCATGAAGCAGACGAACTTGCCATGCGCATAGCTTCAACCCCCGCGACATCGTGATTTTTTTTTTTTTTTAATCTTCCGCCAACTATGGTGTGAAGTTTTGGAGAAAATAAATGATTTCCACTCGTTATCCCCATCATTCGCTTGTTTTCGAACTGCTAACACCACTGTCCTGAATCGCTGTTTTCAAGCTTAACTATATGACGTGGACGAAACACACCGACCGCTGAGCTATGACCGACCGATTGCATGATTGAAGGATTGGTACGGACCAGGAAGCGAAAATGCAGTGTTGATACGATGCCGTTGCCACGGCGACGCGCATGCGCAAATTGGGGCAGTTCCTCGGGCGCGCTGCACCGCGCTGGAGGAACATGGTCGCTCGGGCGCCTCTCGGTGCGGCGTGACGTAGCGGAGTGGCCGACGAACGTCGATCTGCGCTGGCGGGCGTTGCGTTCGTCGACATTGGAGTAAAAACAGCCCTTGATCCTTGAAAAGTCAATAATCGAGGAAAGACGCGGCTGCGGCTTTTTAAAAGAGAACCCAACGGGAAGCTAGGTTGTCCCCAGAGACGACACTCGAACGACGGCGTGAGAGTTGAGAGTCACTTTGACTTTCGATTTGTTTCATCTTTAAAATAAAGACTTGCGCACGCAGAAAAATATAGTTTTCTTTTCCTCGTTCTATAGGTGACCCCGAATAATTCCCGCCGTTTATTGGCCAAAGTTGGAAAAAAGTGACACGGCGCGATGGTTACCATAGCAACGATCCCTGCCAGGTTTCAAAATTCGACTCATCTACACCACCTGCACCAGAATGAACTTGATATCCAGCGCTTCACCCGATAACCTAGCGCAGCCTTATTTGAAAGCGTATGCGGCGGAACTGCCCTACGTTTTTGTTGCATCGTAAAACAGCCTTTGCATAGGTGTAAACGGGTGCATGAAAATAGAACGACCGCAATACAAGCAAACACCGAGTTGGTAATGGCCGCGTTTCCAGGCTAGTGGATATTGTTATACGTGGCGCAGTCATGCTCATGGTATCTGCGATGGCGCTACATTCGATCAAGCGTATGCATGAACGTCCTTGGCGCCCCGCAACAATGATCGAAGGAATATGAAAAATATGAGGCAGGAAAAGAGGAAGTTTCAAAGTAGAAGAAAAAGGAACAGTCGAGGCGATAGAGACGTATCCTCGACTGTTCCTTTTTTTTTTTTTCTACTTTGAAACTTCCTCTTTTCCTGCCTCAGTCTCAGGCTAACATCAGAAGTGTTATATCTGTTGGTGTGTCGTGGTTAAACATGGTCCAGTTCTCACGAGTTCTAAATAGGTTGTCTTTTAAGGCAAAATATTCGTTACTATTTTTATTACTACTAATATTTAGGAGAAAGTGATGCACCACATGGAGGGTGCAAACATACGAAACATGATCTTTGTACCCACAACCTGGCAACACTCATGTGTGTTCAGCGATAGAACACAAGAGTACAGTAATTACTTTTTTTACTATTGACCCCATTAATAACAACACCTCGCTGTATGGACGAAAATTTCGGGTAACCGCATATAAGATTTTCTAAAAAAACCACGTGATCCTTCAAAAAAGTCCTGGTCAAAATGACCCGGGACAAGGTGGAGCCAAGAAAAATCGTATAAGAATGATACTAGTATAATTTTATTGCGGCGATTTTTATATTTTTGGGGACTTGGATATCTTGGACTCGACGCGTACCTAATTAATACGTAATAACTAAGGATACAAAAACAGTCTTTGTTTTGTTTGCCTGTCTTTATGCCTTCGATCGCGCTATTACTCGTAATGCTATGAACTGCGCAAATAAACACCGTCTTGCCTCGTTCTTATGGACAGAAGCTCACTAAAGACTGTGTACAAACGCAAAAATAAAAAAAATAACGAGTTAATCAAGGTTTTACTAAGTTTGCGATGACTTTGCTGGTTCCGTTATCCAAAAGAAAGAAGACGCACTCAGAACGCGTGACGGACATGTACCGTTGTTGCCGTGACCAACGCGTGAGCTCAACTAGTGTAAGAAGATAAGACCCGGGACCAGAACAAGGATTCGGTTTTTTGAGGGTTTGTCGGTCAAGAGTCCATTGCCTTTCTTTCCGTATGCGCTTCACGGCCAGATATGATAAACCTCCGGAACATTCATAGGTTTTGCGTGCCACTTGGGCAGAAAATTAAGGGCAGAGATTTTTCCTCGCAACTTATTAGTTATAAGGGTGTAAACCTTCGTCCGGCATGAAGCGGAAGCATAAAACTTAATTGAACAGTCTTCTGCTCAGTTTAAACAAGAAACATGTAACCTCCAATTGAGACTTGTGGAGGTCTCAAGGGGGCACGAGGCGTCTGGATAGGAGGCCGACCGCGAAACCAACACATCGAAGCGGATCAGAGTCACCGCTACGCCGGGTTCGACTGCTGGCTGCACCTGCTAGCCTGGACTCACGAAGGGAGTACACGGACACGCAGAATAGAGGGACACCCGGGGTTTATTGGCTCCGGTTAAATACAAAGATAAAAAGACTAGTATCGGCAAGGGGGAGGGTGTCCTTACCTTGCCGCACTTTCCCGAGAGCCTGGACGGAGGTGGGGCAGCAGAGCGCGTGGCCGCACATCCGAACAGTTTCAAGTCCAGCGGAAAAGTCCCTTCTCCGAGCGGCCAGAGGACACGCTCTCTCTCTCTTTTCCTCGCTGGCGGCTCCAGCCTCGTACGGAGGAGTGGCGAGAGTAGACGACCAAGATGGCTGCCCCTCCTTGCCACGATAAGGCACGCTCCGGTCGGAAGCCAGGTGGCTCCCGACGTCGCGCCCGCGGCCCGAAGGCCGGATCAGGGAAAGGGAGCCAGAGGCTCCCACGGACTCTGATGCAAAAAAAAAAAAGTGTCTTGTAGCCACGCTTGCTGTTTATTTTTGTGCCAACTTGACCTTGAGTCGTTATTATGGACGACTCACACAGAGAATTCTCGAAGATAGTCGTCCGTATTACGATGACATGGCTGTATTAACACACTAAATAAATGGAGTGAAGCTGGTAATTCGATTTTGAAACGAGCCCCCCGGAAATCAAAGTGTGAGCTCTACCGAGAAAAAAAAAAAAACAGTATAACTTTTCGCTAACTGGATTATGGAACAGAAAATCTAACTGGATTTCTTGCTGGAAACCTGAAATTCATTCTGCAGACATTTCTATGCAAAGAGGATTTCCGAGTTCCAACAAGAAATCCAGTCTTGCTAAGATTTTCTATCTAGGGTCTCCCACTGAAATGTAGGCTGCTGCTGTGAGTCTTGAAAAAGTTTTCTTCCGGAAAGTCACTTAAAATAGGTACATTGTAAGAAAACAGCACCGAAAGCCCAATCGAAGTCACTATAATATTAGGCATGCCTTTGTATATTTTTTATTCAATTAATCGCTGGAGCTTCCGAAGCCAAAATTACAATCCGCAGCCGCCAGACACATCAACAGCAGCGCCAGTCATGTAAGAGCTCTCGGGCGAGCAGAGAAAAGCGACCACCTCAGCAACCTCGCGCGGCAGGGCGGAGCGAGCGAGTGGAATCTGGGCGAGAATTCCCTGCTTCTCCTGCTCGGTCAAGAACCTTGTAACTGGAGTGTCAGTGAATCCCGGGAGCACAACGTTGCACCGAATTCCCTTGTCGGCGAGATCCAGGGCCACTGTTTTTGTCAGGCCGACAATGCCGGCCTTGGAGGCGACGTAACTGCAGAGTCCTCGGCTGCCTGTCTTGGCCGCTAAGCTGGCGATGTTGACCACCACTCCTTCCGTCACTCCTCCGCTCAGCATGTCCCGGACAGCGACTTGGGTCATCAGGAAGGTACCCTGGTTGGTACAGTAACCATTCAGAAAACGATATACCACAGTATGACACTTTGTAATGGTTGTCCTGTGACTGTAACGATTGTCCAGTATACCAGGGTGTGAGCAGTATAAAGACTACCCATTATACTCCGGTATGCCATATATTGTTCAGTATAGTAATTGTCCAGTACACATCAGTACGTCACTTTACAATGATTGTACGAAAAAACTTAAGTAAAAAAGCTAAATGGCAAATGTTGCGCCATAATCACGACATTTGCTGCACTTAAAAATACTTCCTTGCCATAGGAAAGAAGGACAATTTCGGTACAGATTGACACAATATTTTTTCGTATCTTATAAACGTACGGTGCCTGATAACAGAATAAAATGCAAACAATTTCCCAGTCTTTGGAAGAAAACAAAACTTAAATGAGTGGGGTTGAAAAGTGTAATAAGTTTAAATTTAAAACGCAACTTTTTCTAAAAACAAAAAAAACAAAAAAAACGTTTGGCACATTTTTGATTTTGTCAATCCCGACAATTAGAGGCAGAAATCCTAGATAAACAATGTGTGTCCCATACCCACGGCCACCGTTTCTGTAGGTTAGAGCAATCTTGTTATCGCCGCCATATTGTAGTCTATCAGCAAGCTATTTTTTATATATACATTTTTTTTTAAAAAACCGGAGTCGACGGAAGACGTAAAAGGGGACAACACACAAAACGTCTCAATTGAGACATTTATTTTGTTGTCCCCTTTTTCGTCGTCCGTTGTCTCCAGTTTTTCAAAGAATTGTAACATCAACCAGCTCGCCTGCTTAATCACTCCATCTCTTTTTCATGGCGCCTGTACCATACAGAAGAGTGAGAGCAAATAGTCAGGAAACGCACGTACTAGACACCATGTGTCCCGCAGAAAGCATTTTTTTGCGTTACAGCTTGGGTTTGTCATAGCACTTATTGTATAATATATTCTCTGTTTTCGCAGTATCTAAGGCTTCCTGTCGAATTAAAGCGTGTGCCTGCGCTCAATAGAACCTGTAAAGGTAAAACCGCTCTCACTCAGCAGTACATCTTGATATTCCTCGTATGTAAAATGAAACGTTACTATCAAAGTCAAAATCAATTGATAAATCAACATCTATATTTCTCGCTGCTGCTGTCATCCAAAAATAAGCAGTACAGGCTCTCGATTCGGGCTTTGGATACCGTCATTGTTTCCGTGACCTATGTGTGCAGGGCGCCACGTTTGAGAAGCGGCACTGCCGTTTTGAAGATTTTTTCTGACAGCTGGCAGCTTGCCACCTTCAGCGCACAACTATGCATTTAAACCGACATGACCTTCGCAATCAAAAATATATTTCGTCAGTTTTCCACGAGGTGGCGCACCGTGTTCTATTCCACGAAATATGAATTTCAGCGGCTCGCGATAATCATTCGGCACATGTGATCAATGGCCAATACTAAGGTACGGAAAAAGTGAAGTGAAACCAAGACTTCTATGTCCTGCATTTATTTGTCTAGTGGTATGCTATACGATCAAGGAACCGAAGTTCGCTTGCAAAATTTAAAAGTGCGTATCAAAAAGCTCAGACGTTTTCAGTCTATGCAGACAATCCTAAGACAAAAATATTTACGGCTATTGGTTTGTTTGTTTCTAAGATTTTCGCGCTCGTTTATACATTGAGAACTTTATGGAACAGTGGATTTAGACTGTGCCCTGTGGCGAACAGGGCGACTACTTTTTCAAAAATACTTTTAAAAAAGTTTCCTTTTTTTTACGGAAATAACCCCTGGAGAAGGGGGAACAAGAGGGACAAAGGACAAACACAAATCTCCAGACACAGCTTGGTCACTGGTGCGCGATCGAAAAAATCCGCCTGGTGCGGGTATCGAACCCGGGACCTCTCCATTACAGGTGGAGCGCTCTACCAACTGAGCTAACCAGGGGTTAGACGTCAGTAGAGCAAACGGGTTTTATCAGCTGCCAGGAGTCTAACACCAACAAGGGTGAACTTGCAATGTAAGGATATTTTTATAATGCAATTGAAGGCAAAGGTGCAAACGAGCCGGACAAGAATGACGAATGTTTCAATTTCTTCTTTCTAAGCGAATTCGCGGGCACAATAAACATTTCGAAATATATATTTACTCAGTTTAAAGAATAAGTAGCTCAAGGTTATCTTACGCGTATTTGGAGTTCTGTTGGATTTCCACGTAATACGTAAATTCCACGCATTACCTTTCGAAACTTTTTGGAAAAAACTTATTTCTGTTGTAATTAGAAATTACACTCTTGTAGCAATCAATGTTCCTTTCGTCCGCATGAGCGGTCAAAAGAAGGCACAGTAACTTGGATGACAAGGAAAAGAAGCATTGTTTCTGCAAAAGCATAATAGATAAACATTCCCAAACTAAAAAAAAAAAAAACAGCATGCAGAGACGTAATTAACTCACTAAACCTTAAAAATTCAAAATTCGTAAAAAGAAAGATATACCTTAAAAAAATGTATTCAGAACGTTAACTTTTTTTGTGTGAGTATACTGTATCCTTATAGACTATCATCGAAAAGCGATCATTGCTATTGTATACTTAATGAGTCCGATGCAGGATTAGTAAACTTTTTTTGTGAAACTGTCTCCTGTTCTAGCTTACCTTCAGGTTGACACTAATGACTTGATCAAAAACATCTTCAGTTGTATCAACAATTGATGTGAAGAGGGCGCCAGTGCCTGCGCAGTTCACAAGAATGCTGGCAGGTGCTTCTTAGACATCCTTGATGGCCGTGAAGAAGGTTTGCACTGATGCCGAGTTGGATATATCCACGTGCATTGCAACGTGCTTATGGCCACCGCGTGCACCTGAAAACACATGTGCAGTTCAATGTAACAAAGCACGAACTTAATACGAGCTGATGACATCAATTTTAAAACCAACCACTTGGTAAGCCATTTTAACTAAATATTTAGCTTTTCATGGCCCTCAACAGGACAAGGAAATCGCGAAAATTCCCGTTGGCTGCTTAGGCTCCTGACTTGGCTTTATTTCAGTTACCTCGGTGTAGTTTATGCCTGTCTCAAAATATACTGCTCTGGACGTTTTTAGTATAATATAAACCTTTTTTTTAACATTAACGCAATAAAATCCATATATGCGCCATGTATGTGCTATCGGAGAGGCCTCCATAGCGCGGTAGTGTGCGCTGTCTCAGCCTTTTCGCCATTTAAAAGCCTTTCAGGTTCCTCCTGCGTTAGCGAGCTTTCCATGAATTGTTCAGCGTTCAATTTTGTATAACTTCTGTAGGCTGCTTTTCAGTAATATAAGTCAACACGTTTCTTCTACATGACATTAAATAGGTAACAATCTGTGGTTGTATTGTCCATGTTTTAATTGTTTTATTTTTTCTTCGTCCATGATAAAATATTACCGGTTGTTCTCTCGAACATACGAGTACGCAATAACCGAATAAAATGCAGTGCCAATTTTATTCGACAGTTCTTCCTTGCGGTCACTTGTAGCATATTTGTTGCTTCTCACTGAGGATCTATCGGTTAATATTTCAGTCTCGACGGGCATCTCTGATTGGGAAACCAGCAAGACGGCGCCATTTGCAACTTGGAAACGTATCCGACTTGGGCAACATGTAACGTAAGCAAGCGCCACTTCCTTCGTGCATTTTGATTCATTTGCGACAATAAGCGGATTACTTCATCAAAAAAAAAAAAAAAAAGAAGAAGCCTCTTCCGTACCGGTTATGCTCTCCGCTAGATTTTCCGGCGACTTCTGACTCCGAGTTTCAAAATTCGCGCGATCTTGCTGCGAATCCGCAGGTCTGTACATAGCATTACACACGTTTATAACTACTCAATACTAATTTGTATAAATACATGGGGGCGAAAAGATTTTGTGTATTTCTCAGCCGCTCGATTATGTAGATCTGTGTACCACTTCAATGTCACGATAGCTTGTAAACCGAAAAAGAAGCACACCTGAAGGTTGTGTGCGTGCACTGGCCCCTTTATACACTGTGACCCCCTTCTATAGAAGCTGTTGCTGAGTGTTCTAAATGCCTTTACTTGCGAAAAAAAAAAATACTCACGGAGACGAAATAGCTGCGCCCCCTGCGGGTGACTAACGCGCACGCATTCAGTAGTAAAGTATTGGATGTCCAGGTTTTTTTTACACGAGAGGAACCGAGAGTTCATGACTTTTTTTTGTTGGAAACATCTTGGCTGAGTGGAGGGCTGTTGATGTTACAACGTGACTTAATTTAACTTACTCATTTTGCCTTGGTTACACTGCCTTGATATTCGCATTTCAAGCTGTCTTTACACATACGTAGTCCCTTGGTCATGTTTAACGTGAGCCGGCAACCGAGTAGAAAATGACATAGATCGGCAAAAAAAAAAAAAAAACGCCTTGGTTACACTGCTTTAATATTCATGTATACAAAAGGAATCCTTCCTAGCATATCATTGCTGAGCTAAACTTAACGTCAGTCGACAGTCGCGAAAACATTTACATATTCAGCCGGAAGACTACTTATAAGAGGGCAAAAAAAGGGGTTAATAGAGGTGAAGCTTCTCTTCACTTTACCTGAGCACGTGAGCTAACATTTGCATTGTCTCACACGTACGAAAGCAGAGAAGAGTAGTCGAACTAGTCAACATCTATTGAGGTTACGGTGAAGTTTAATTGGGATTTGTGAGTAAAAATGTCACGGTGGCCACAGTGTGTTCACTGCGCGACAATGTTAGCGCGAACTGTCATTGCACATTGTCACATTCTACTTCGAAAGGTTATTACTGACCACAAAATTTTGCTGCTTACGTTAGCTTAACAAGCGACAACTCCTATTGCATTTGTGAGATTTATAACAACTTATCATTCAAACTTATAAAAAAAGATGTTTGTTTCCTTGAGGAGTGTCGCGCGGTGTACATTTTGCACTAGCACAGTTGCTTTTTTAGCGCCTCAAAAAGTGTCAGTAAAACGTTGGCATTAATCTTTGGCTGGGTTTAAGAATCTTAGGTTTGAAAAAAGTCAACAACAAAATAAGTCCGAATGCAGCCGACCGTGCACTTTTAGGGGAACAATCATACCGCGTGTTTCATCATCGCTGAACCAATAAGGTACCGGGAGGTGTGGAGATCTGGCTGCCCTCCCCCGCGCCGAACCTCCGGACCCCAATTTCCGGCAACTCGCAGTCGATGCCTCCGACATGCGTCATGCCTCGGGGGGCCGGCCATGGCCTCGCGCAGCACAAGGTCCGGCTGGACCACTCCTCTAAGCCGTCTGACGTCACGGGACTGGCTTCCCAGAAGAAAGGACCCAAGGCTTGAAAAGGGGAAGCCGGACAAAAGAAGGCCCTCTCTTGGACGGCAGCGCTCTCGAACGGCGGGACACGAAGGATGGTGCAGCGGTTACAAGGAGATGAGGACGCTGGCGCGGGATTTGGCGGGAGACGGACGCAGGCGCGGGGAAATTGCGGGCACTACGTCGAGTGGCGGACTTGACAAACGGACCGGACAGCGACCCTGGACGACGACGTCCCGATGACGCGGTGTGGACGACCACCGCTGGGACTCGGAGAAGCTGCTGTCGCAGCGGACTCTCCCCCGGCCTCGCTGATGACCGTCCCCCGATCCCGAAACCCCCCAAGGCAATGAGTGAGTGAATAAACCCTTTTGCCGAGAGCGAAGTATTGCAGTGTCATATTCATCCGGAGACAGGGTCTGTGAGAATCGGAGCTAGAAGATGCCCGCAGAGGTCACAGCGAAAAAAATAGCAAGAATTACAACAGCAACAAGAACAACAACAACGTCTTATAGCGTTTCAAATCATCACGAAAATTTTGGCTCTGTCATCCTTTTTTTTTAATTTCAAGATGGATGTAGTCATTTCATTTCCAAAGTAAGCTATAGCTTTCTACCAAGCCAGACAACTAGAAGCACAAACCTGGAAGAGCATTGGCCACGGCTTCAGCGGCTGCCAAATCGATGTCAGCGACGACCAGCTGCACACCTTTCTCGGCTAAGACATCGCATATCGGCTTGCCGATGCCTCCTCCGCCTCCGGTGACCACAGCCAAGCGTCCGCACATGGAACGTTCCTGGGACATGGTCGACATTTCCTTTAGGTAGGCGATTTGATGGGTTCCGTGATGTGTGTCCTCCGAACCACTGAAGAGCTCTGTCAACCTGCCGGTTCTATCGCTAGCAACTTGAGCGCTAAGCGACCGATAAGAGGGCCGATAGAAAGGGAGATTATTGAAAGAGGGAGAGGATTGCTTGGACCGGTTTTCCGTGCAGGCTGAGATTACGGCTAAAAAGGAAGTAATAGTATTCAAGCAACCGCTACCAGTTGTCAGACAAGCCGATCGCATATGATGAGGTTGTTTATTTTACCCCTGTAAGAAAGATGGGATTTAGGGATTTGCTTTTAGTCCTTGTTCTTTAGGATGTTCGCTCTAGGGCTTTTCTTTTAGAAGAATAGTTGTGTGATATGTGCTTTAAGAGATTTGTGACCCGCTGCTTCTCGAGCGTAATATTTGGGGTCCTGTGTCCTTTGCTGTTCTTGCGCCTCTACGTTCCCCCGTTACTCTGCTCAGCACGGCACGCTCGTCATTCGTCTAGGCCCGGGTTAGGTTTGTGTGTGTGTGGTGGGGGGAGGGGGGGGGGGGGGAGGGGTTCGACGAACTCAGCGAGCGCCGTGTAGTGGCGCCGGAGAACTTTAGAATAACCCCGAAGGCGGCGGTGGCGTGGAGGGGGGAGGGCATGAGCAAAAGGAAGCAACAGCCCAATAGCCCGACTTCACATATTCACATAGATGACGAGGCTGCGCGAGAGGCGACGGCGATGGGGAGAATCTGATAGGCGCCATCGCTCTTTCATCGGACTATAATTAGTCTTTGCGCAAGGACTCCCGTATTTCGCCTGAAAGAGGCACTAACCGCTATCGCTGTAAAACAAAAATAAAGTTACAACTCAAGATCGTGGGTTTTGCGACGTTTGCCTGGCATTCATGCGATGCACCAAGTTCAATCTGCGTGAAGCCAACTGTGTTGTAACTAGCGGTAAGGTTGTTTCATGCGCTATTTTTTTTTAATGCGTAAGCAATTATTGCCCTGGTGCATGCAGTCGTCTTTCTTTCGGACTGTCGTGGTTCGGACTGGACTGGACTGGTTTCCTGAGGCCGTGGCGCGGCTCCCGCCGTGCTCCTTGGCTCCGTTCGTCCACTCGTTACGTCCACTTCACGTTTTTTTTTTGTTTTTTTTTTTAAGAGCGACGTTTTTAATGACGCGCCGCAGGAAACGGGAGAGGAAGGGATCGCGCGGCCGTGGCGGTGGCACAACGTGCGTGACATCCTAAAACCAAGGCGCAGCGACAAGGGAGTTTGCGCGAAATCGCCGACACCCGGGAGGAAAGTTTGGCTCTTCGAAGACAAACGTATGCAGGCTGTAAGCGACATTCGAAGGAAGCTGTGGTGGCTGCATACGAAACCGCCGATACCCGGGAGAGCAGACTGGCACTCAGAGGACAACAGTATGCGGACTGCTTCGGGACTGGAATTTGTATCCTTCTCTGAGTTTGAATTCCTGCGCTAAGTGCTAACGCATTTCATCGGACATCAGCGTAGCGACAGCAGCGATTTCGGCACCATTTTTATTTCTATTTTCCTTTCTGATATATTACATTTTTTATATATGTTTGACCATCACTTAACTTTGAAGTTGGCTGATACTGGTCTGTTACTTCTGATTGCAAGCAGTAACTCATCTATAACTTGCGATTTTCATGTTTGACTACATGCTTACGTATGACTATTAGAATTTGCCCCAACAAAGCAACAAACTTCTTTTTACTTTTGGCGGATGGACATATCTGTATAAAGATTCTATATGCGCGTCTGAACTATCGAAGCGAATTGACGTATCATGCGGTTTACCACCGTGGAATAGCAGCCATAGCAAGCCACAGAACGGATGTTTTTCCATTACTCTGTTTTGTTTTTTCAGTTACTCTTTTTCGCGATGCAGCCGAATTGAGAGCGGTGCACTCTCGTCATGTGCTCAAAAACAGCAGCGCTCGTAAATCGAGTCAGGTGGTATACACCGAATGTATACACTGTCTCATCTTACGATGGATCATAAAGGCCGTTACTCGTTACGTAAAGCAATTAAAGTCACGTGAACATCACATGACCTAAGCGAACGGCGCAGTCACATGCTGCGTCCAAAGCGTTGGATTGGCTTAACTGACCCGTAGCTTCCGCTGCGCTTCATCGTTTAGTGAAACGGAGAATATACTGGAACAGGTGGTGTACATGTGTACACGAAGTACGGCATTTTCGCTCGGCTCGCTGAAAGCTGCAGCGGTTTTTCGCACACCGCACCACTTTAAGCAACAACGTTTACGCCCCAATGTCGGTGGTTAAACCTACCATTGTTTGATATAGAAGCGTTGCTGGGTGGCAAAACCTTCCAGCGGTTTTAGGACGGAGGATTTCAGAGCAGAGTTTGATTTTGAAAACATCTCAAAGAATGACTACGAAGTCCCAGGGCGGTCCGCTGCGCGGACGCTTGGCCGTCGTGACCGGGGGCGGAGGAGTGATCGGCAAGGCAATTTGCAATGTCTTAGCTACGAAAGCTGCTCAAGTCATAGTCGTTGACATCAACTTGGTTACGGCTCAGGAAGTCTGCAATGCTCTTCCAGGTTTGTGTCTGCATATGTCTTATTTGGGATATGCTTGAGAACAGTGGGAATGAAGTTACAGGCTTTTTGCTTAAATAAAGACAAGCAATCTAAAGGAAGAGTAAAGGTTTGGCATACTATCTGACGTTTTGTTTATATCATTTCTAGTATTGAGAATAATATGTACTATTAATACTCAAAATCTTTTGTAATAGTGTCTAGAAAGATGCATAGTGATAATTAAGTTTGAGTGTAATCGGGATTTCAAAAATTTCTATAGAAAGCGGTTTGAAAGGCAGGAGTTGCATAATAATATCAAGATTGCTAGGGTCGTTTTTTTCAGCTTATTTTTTTTTTTTTTTTTTTAATTTTACAATGCTGCGGTCAAGAGAAGCAGGTATAATGCGACACGTATTACGCAGACCAAACTAGCTGAAAAATTCTAGCCAGGCAGCAATGCAGGCAGCATTAATTATGTTGGTTTACCGATAATGGTAAAGGTGAATGAATTTTGAGTTTTCTGGCGCAGCAGCAACATAGGCCATAGGGCGCCAAACGCAGGGTAATGTTCTGAAGCTCTTTCTACGAGCTTCCTCTAAATTCATGCTTTGTTTGGAAAACTAATTCCGCGTGTATTTCCAGTTGCGAGCGATAGTGTGAAGCACGTTGCGATGCAAGTTGATATCGCTGACTCATCATCAGTGCAGACGCTCTTCGCGTCAATTAAGGATGTCTACTGTACACCTGCCAGCATTCTTGTGAATTGTGCCGGCACATTTGGACTCACCGCCTCGATTGTCGATACAAGTGAAGATACATTTGATCGAGTCATCAGCGTCAACCTCAAAGTAAGCTTAAACGTTTGAATGGCCTGGAAATTGTACTGAACATTAAAATCGTGAGGTCCTCAGTCTAAAAGGGTAACGATTGTATTCCCCCAACTGAATTAAGCGAGCTTGCTCGTGTACGAGTGATGTTAACGCGCCACGCGCTGAATCGCTTTTAGAATGGCACGAGCAACTGCGTCGACATGTTTACAATTAAGAGTTGGAGTGGGCTATTTGAGGATTCCTGGTTGGTCTGGCTGTTGGGGGTTACATTGTTTTTGAGAACCTGTTGTTTTTTCGCAAACGTTGAAAGAGATAACTTTGTTATAAAGAACATCGGTTGGAGAAAAAAAAACGTAAAACCGAAACGCTAAAATTATCTTGTTTTTAAGAGTATGCCTTCCCTCAGAAGTTACATACCCTTTTTTTTCTTTTAACCGCTGATATCATCGAATCGTACGAAGTCAAATATTCTGATATAAAACGATACAAAGAAAAAAACAGAACAAAATGTACTTTGTTGTAAAAAAGCAAAAAGAAGAAAGAAACGTTTTGCAACTCAATGTATCAGACGGTACGTCTAGCTATTCATGAAATGCGTTAAAAGTTGGCATGGTGCACAGTGTTCTCTAAGTGTTTCTCATATCTATCAGGGAACCTTCCTGATGACCAAAGCGGCTGTTCAAGACATGCTGGCCGGAGGGGTAACTGAAGGAGTCGTGGTCAACGTCTCCAGTCTTGTCGCCAAAACGGGCTGGAAAGGAGTTTGCAGCTCTGCAGCTTCCGAAGCTGGTATCATTGGCCTTACCAAAACAGCAGCCTTGGATCTTGCCGACAAAGGAATTCGGTGCAACGCTGTTCTTCCGGGATTAACCGAAACTCCAGATCAAAGGTTCTTGACAAAAGAGCAGAAGCAGGACATTTCGTCCCGGGTTCCACTCGGTCGCCTCGCCCAGCCGACTGAGGTCGCTGACGTGGTCGTCTTTCTGTGCTCGCCTGAGAGCTCATACATGACTGGCACCGCGGTTGAAGTGACTGGCGGCAGTGCTTTGTGACTAGGGCTCCAAAAGCTGTACTGCTCCTGTGGAAAATCTAATTACAAAGGAAAAGTAATTTTGTAGGTATTTCCGTTACATTCTATTTTAGAAACTTGTTATTATTGTACATTTTTATTACTTTGATGTGAGCAGCATTCTGAGAGTACCAGTGTGGCAGCGGATTTTCTTTGAAAGGATTTCGCTAACAAAGTATTGGAAAATGCAACCATGTGCGTAACGCGTTACTAGTAACGAATTACTTCTGCCTAGTTACTTTTTCGATAGCAAGTAAAGTATTTATTTACTTTTTTTAAAAAAAAAAGGAACGAGTAACGTACTTAGTTACTTTTAAAGGGATACTGAACCGAAATTTTGCGCTTAAAAAAGCAATGCCGGGCGGATAGGCGGGAAGCTGCAAAACCAAACAATCGCACTCATACGGCGATATATCTAACGAATCGCCGTATTTTTTGGAAAAGAAGTGTGCGATTGAACCCGGCCGACGAGGCCGACGAGACAAGGCACGTCACGATTCCCATTCTCTCTCCTCCTCACTACGTCCCGTCAAGCTGGTGAACCGAAGCGAGGAAGAGAGAAGCGAGGCCGCTTCTCATTTTTA